TGTGACCATCCCTCTTATGGAGAAGCCGACAGTGACTGAAAAGTATTGAGAAAACATGGAACTCCAGGTCATTGATTTATCTTGTTAGGGCTATGACGCAATGAATTCAATAATACGCCGAATGCCAAATAGATGGCGCAAGGGGATGTGACCTGTTTAATGTAGGTCTTTCAAGCCCGTGTCCGACAGGCTAGAACGCCAAGGCATGGCCATAGTCTGCGGAGGCTATATTTTATTCGAATAGATTAGTTGCTGGAGTAGATACAACACACCACTCTCAGTTAGTAGAGCTGTAAGAAATATATTTGCTTATCGTCTAACAAAAATAGAATTGCCGAATGAATTCACACAACTATCCAGAAAGTTTTAATCCCGCGGATGTGCCATATTACGGAAATACATTTGCCGGATTCCTCTCATGACGATTGTTAGGGAAGGGTGGAAATCAGAAATGCCTGCTGAGAAAATCTCAAACCTTGAATACCTGGTGAGAAAACGTCAGGAAAACTTAATAATAATCAAAATAATAATAATTTTAATAACAATAATAATAATTTTAATAATAATAATTTTATTATTATTATAATAACGTGTATTCGAATACAGTATCAGGACTATGTAAATCATTGTTTTGAAGTCGAAGAGTTTCTTAGCGAAACCAAACTTCAAAATATATCTGTCAACGCATGCACAAAGGAAATGTAACCTTCAAAGTAATTGAATGTCCAGAAAGATTTCATTTGTAGATTACGGGGTAAGAAACAACTTGGCACAAAAAACTGGTTTTGAGTGACTAGGGTATATCGTTTCTGAGTTAAGTACGATGGTAGCATGTTTCAGCATAACATGTGTAGTAGGTTGGATGTACGTCTGCTGCCGTACCTGGCATGGGCGTCCTCGCCAACGATTCATCCGTATTCATAAGAATGAATTTTATTTTTGTAATTGTTATTGATATTATTGATGGCAATGTTGTTACTGGATACTCCCATATCCAAATAATTTCTATTTGTTCGCCTTCAATCTGTTCGATGCAGGGCGGTAATTTTCTATCCAGTTGTAGCACAATTACAACGATTTGTGAGGAAGCTTTCTTTCAAGCTGTTTCACGGCACAAAACCGTCATCTTTCCTTCGCGTAAGTTTAGAGTAGAACAATAACATCAGCTTGTACTTCAGTTCTGGGTCAATGACCCCTATTTCGATCAGGATTTGGTCCAGTTTCCCTGATCCTTGATTAAATGCAGAAAAACCTATTTACTTTATGCTATGTTTCAGAGGAAATGTATTTTCGTAGTTTTAATGAACATTTGAAATGCCGTGGTTTTCACGATGAAACAATGCAACACGACTTTACATAACACGACGTAACCTTGTATTTCTCTGAGTTTAAAAATGTTACTTATACCGTTCAGGTTTTTACCCATTCAAATGTAACTTCAAATTAACTTCTCCCCGTAGCACGTAACACAGTTGTAACTGTTTGTGACTTAAATATATAAAAATAAAATCAATAACGACTTTGATAACGTCCCTCTCAACAAGCCTTCTAGATAACAGTGAGCATGTGTAGACTGAGGAGAGAGAGATTTTAGATCTGCCATACCGATTTTGTAAATGAAATTTTTCAATGTCATTAAACGTTCACGTCGGAAATGTATCTGTTGACACCATTTGCTTATTGTTCCGATAGGAACAGATTGTAAATTATGTAGAAAATAAAATAAAAAAATTGATAACGTCGATAACAAAACAGATAACCACGTTCACCATTCATAATAACAAATGATAACATCCATAACAATAATGCCATCAATAGCAAGAATGTCATCAATAACAACAATGCCATCAATAACAATAATAATGGCAATAACAATAACAATAATATAATCAATAATAAAAATAATGTTCTCAATCACAAAAACAGCAATATATTCAAATGATAAAATGAATATGTTGGCGAGGACGCCAGCGGGTGTAATGGTTGACGGCGCTGATGTGGACGTAGCCTCCGCCTTGCGGGCGTCGCAGCGCGGCAGCGGTTGTGGTAGGCCGGCCACCAAGCTGTTGTCGCCATGCGCGCCGCGGCGCCGCAATGCGCCACCTGCGATAAAATTAATTGCGCCAACGCTGAATTTCACGACGGCAGATAGGCTGTTGTGACGACCAAGGTTAACGACCGCGGCTGCGCTGGCGCTCCACACACGCGAAGAAGCATCTGTGTCATGGCGTGGGTGAGATTGTGGGAGAGGCAGACAGTTTTTACTCGGGGTTCGGCGCCACACCGAACGACCTGCAGGAGGAGAATCTGGTGTATTTCGAATGTGTATGCACACGGTTTTGCTTAATACGATTTTTTAAAATTATTTGTACTAGTATAATGTTATGTATAAATTTATGTATGTATGTAACAAGAATTGTATGTAACAGAAATGTATGTAAAAAGAAATATGTATGTAACAAGAATAGTGTATGTAAAGATATGTATGTATAAGATAAGGGGGTGTATGTAATAAGAATACGTATGTAATAAGAATAGTATGTATAAGAATATGTATGTAATAAGAATATGTATGTAATAAGTATATGTAGTAGTAATTTAAGTCCATTGATTGAAACAATGCAAGTGGCAGTGATTTGGAACTAAGTTTATCTGGTTTCAAGAGCTCATTTCGACTGAGATGATTAACTGTGGAAACGCATGTAGGTGTTTAAGATATTCGTTCCTCAGCCCTACTGCTGTTTGTATGGCATAAACTTAAGTCTAGAACTAACGCAAAGAAACTAGCCCTACATTGAGATACCAATTATACTGGGGACAAGCTTTTTTTTTATATTTAAATTAGAATTGATCCATCAGTTTTTAACTATGTCAGGGTGGGACATCGCTGAATGTAGAGTCTAAGAAAGAGTCCAGTTGATTACAGCACTTATGAACAATAGAAGCACCATCTTGACCGCAAAAGATCGCATTAAAGGGGATAATACAGGTAAATAAAAAAATTGAAAAATTGTTTATAAAAACACTGTTCCTTGATATGTCTGCCACAACTTCAATACCTCGAATAAGATTAAAAAATCTAAACAGCACAAAATAGATTTGTTCCCGTAATTGTAACTCTTTTTCTTTCTTCTTCTCTTTTCCTCTTGCGAGTATTCTACAGCTCCTGGGAGCGTCTCTTGCATTCCAATCTCCATATCACTCTATTGATCCAGTCATTCTCTTCTAGACCTCTTCTTTGCACATCGTTAACAATCTGATTCTGCCATTACACTCTGCGTCTACCACTTTTTCTTGTGTCTAAAGGAAACCACTCGCAAACTTCTCTGGGCCATCTACAATCAAGCCTCTTCACGTGACCGAACCATTCATCCTTCGTGTTTCCAATTAATCTATTATTGATTTTTGAACCTGCATTGGCTTAATAATTTCTTTGTTTCTAAAATGTTCCATTTTAGATACTCCACAACAACTTAAAAAAAATCAATTTGAAGGCTCATTAATTTCTCTCTTTTTCTTTTCCTTAGTTCAAATGTATCTGCGCTATACAGAGTTATACTTTGTATGATAGGATCAGTCTTTTCTTGGAAAACTTGGATATCATTTCTCCAGAGCAGCAAGTTAAACTAATAGCTTGTCGTTCTTGTGTAATTTTTAAAACACTATATTTTCTGGAATCTTCTGGAATAATTCCATCCAAATATTTAAATTCATGACATGTTTCTATCTTATCTCCATTTATTTGCATATGATTACTTTTCTTCTTTTCCACTACCATATATTTGATCTTTTCTATCTTGATTACAGCAAATAATGTTCTAGAACAAAATTCCCATAGCACCAGAAAATAATTCGCTTGTTGATAATGGGAATTATTATCTCTGTGACTAAGAGTGAAAAGCTTCTTTTGAAGGAAATGACGTAGGGATAATTTTTTCAGTACTTCTTATTTTCGAGGTGTTCTGTCAAAGAGAACGATTCCGAATATGAATGTTCAAGGTATAGAATGGAAAATCCAATAATATGCGGAAATAGGTTATTAAAATGACTTCGACAAAATGAAACTATTTATGCACCAATTATTTCAAGGGTTCCACGAATGTCAGTAACACACGGTGGTACAATAGAACCGGGGAAGAACCAAGTACAAATACGGTGACATCCCATGCCCCCACCACTGACGAAGCTGATAACCTACATACATACATACAATGAGGATGAGAGTGGGGGTAGGGCGAGGGTAGGAGTGAGAGTGAGAATCGGGGCGAGGGTGAGAGTGGGGAGGTGAAGTGGGGGTGAGGGTGAGAGTGGGAGAAGGTTGAGGATGAAAGTGAGTACGAGTGAAGGCGAGATGTGTGAGTGGGAGCGAAGATGAGTCTGAGGGTGAGAGTGGGAGAGAAGGTGATAGCTGGAGTGTGGATGAGAGTAAGAGTGAGTGGCTGTGAGAGTGAGGGTGAGGATGAGGATGAGGGACGGTGACGGTTAGGATTGTGACGAAGCGGACGACACCCGCCGCAGAGGCGGTGCCAAGCAGTAGAGGCGGCGGCAGCAGTACAAGGTGCCGTAGGCGGCGGCGGCGGCGCGTGCGGGCGCGCTATCTGTCGCGCTATCTTGGCTTCCGCGAGCGCTTCATTCACTGCGCTTCCCGCGGCGCTGGGCGCGCGCCGCCGTTTCCGGGGGACCGACGCCGGCCAGCGACACCTCATCTCGGCGCCCCCTCCTCCCAACGCGACGTGCCAGCGGGACGCCTTTGTACTCGCGCGCTCAATGTCAATGCCGCCATACCAATACGCGAGAGGATTTCCAGAACCTTTGAAGTCGGAAGTGAAGCTTTTCATCCGTTAAAACACGAACATTATGATCCAGAATAATATAAATATAACTAGGAAGACACTTTAATGAGGAATGAGAAAGACAATTACGGTTGGAGTTTACTGGGTTAACACAGTTTAATACATGTTTTTGCTTTGTTATTGAAAAAAGAAAAAAATACTACTTACCATCGCCCTGACATGCCCGAGAATGTTAGTTCGTTGCTGTTGATGTTTCCAAGGGAACTGAAAACAAAAGAAACGAAAGCATTAGATTTCGTAATACATTAATTCTTGGGCACAAAGCGCATTATGACTGATGACCTTGGGCGGTTTTGTATTGACACTGTGGACGAATTAGACATGTTAAAGTATATAATAATTAAGCACTTTTCTTGCAGAGGGGTTTTAATTGCTTGGCTAAAATCATTTTAAATTAATAATTTATTTTAATTACGAGAACATTGGCGCTGTTTGACAAAAAACATTTCTTTTTCGGGTGAGGAGAACCCTACCACCATGACATTCTACAGAATTCTTCAGCATTCATTCACGGGCGTATTTTCCACGTCCAATAGTATCCTTTATTATTGCACTGAGTTGATTGTTTCCCTTACTTTAACAAGGTAATTGAGAAAGATTAAGAGAGATTGTGATCAGTCTGGATCCGCAAGAGAGAAAAGGGTGAAAGGCAACACAAGCACTTCCAATGAACCCTTCAGGATCTCACTCACAGCTATCTCAATTTCTAAAATACGAGTACTAGTTTTAATGATTAAGTGTCTCTATTAATTTGGTAACTTCATTTATTTTCATTACTCTTGGGTCCATTCCATTTTGAATATAAAACGTACAATCTATATGATTTGATGAACTCTATGAATCTGATGAATTTCTGCCTACAAATATTAATTACATTAGTTTACAACAATAAATGACAAGAAATATAATACGATACACTTTTCTAAGTTACGTACCATCTTGGTATTATTTGTAGATGCGCATAAATAGTTGGTACACTTTTGCACTTTTAAAAGAAAATGACGAATTAGTAAGTTTTATTGAGCAAAGATAATCAGATAATGCACAGGAACTGGGAAAGGTTTAAATAGATACGTTGTATTTGATTTTTTCTCTTTGGTCAGTGTTTTTGCTATTCATGTGATACAATTAAAGTGATGAAGGTATTCTCATAGAGGGTATGAATAGCAATAAATTGTCACTAAATATTGAAAAACACAATATATTTTGATACAATCGGCATGAAGGTAAGATGAAGAAATGGAATGACACATTGTAGGCTGACAATTGAATCGAAGGGGATTTTTTCGTGAGGAAATTCTGTTGCCAATACACTGCTTATGAAACACTTCTTAATACCGAAAATTTATTATCACGAAATGAAAATATTTGATTCCTCTGGCATCTACGCCTGTAATCTTCTGGGTTGGACAAAAGCACTGTTGTTACATCAACAATAGTTACTCACAACACACCCCATCAGGTTCAATTGTTAACCCACAATCTTATGCATCATTCCATTTCGTCCATTTTCATCTTTATACCAATTATAATTACGAATGCTGATCGCTACAAGATTGTTAAATTGTCATGAATGCAATGCTTTATTCCACAGCTTTGTCAGAGCATTTTCCCTGATCACGGAAGGCCCCGCACTGAATTCCCAGCGGAATCAAATATTCTCACTTTGTTACATTCTTTTTCAGTACAAAAATATCTTACTTTTCTGCGTAACACTACGCGTCGTAACTGTAGGTCAACAGGGCAATTCAGCAAATAACCAGCGCAGGGCAAAAAGCAACGTGGCGGGAAGAACGTTGCGTTGAAATGAGGGAGAGAGCAGCGTTCGCTCGAATAATTTACACCTTTCTGGCTTCCGGCAGCAGACTGACTGAAGATAACCGTAGAATACACTGCGGCCTCACTTTGAAGACGATGAAAGTAAATTCTTCAGTCGAGAAAAGATGAAAACTACAGGAGCATGAGGTGAAAGGGGAGCAAGTGCCGGGAAATGATTTACGTGAATGGTAAAGGGCCTTTACGCAATTACGCCTTCAATATGATCGTTTCTCGCTTTGAAGCCTGGACGAAACCGCCGTCTTCTTCCCGGAGTAAAAAATTCGAAAAGGGTCGAAGGCGTGAACAAACTATATGCAAGTAAGAATGTAAATTGCGGATAATAGGCGAGATAATACAAAAACACACTTATCTACCTTTTTTAATCATACTCCTTTGGACGTTGTGTAAGACCACGAGGACGTTGTGTAAGACCATGAGGAAAGTTTGTAATGCCTACTCACTTTTCAGTAGGACCAATGTAACAGTCGATGTTACAGTCAAATTCTCGAAGTGTACCCCAAGAAAAACAGAGTGACAAGAAGCATTAAAGCCGCAAACTAACGACTGTCAACAATGAAATTAAAAAAAACACAACTGGCTTTCGAACAACATACGGTAATTTGTAATTAGCGAAACAATAATTGTACACTCGTGAGAACATCTCACATTAACTTTAGTTCACTACAACAAAAACGTACCATCCTAAAAGAGAAGAAAAGGATCAAGAAGACACGGAAAAGTAATGATATTAAGATAGAAAAAAGCGGAAATTACATTGGAGACAACAGGACCAAAACAATGTTTTTATGAAATGTGAATTTCAAAATTTGAGATTTTTTTTATTTGCTCCTGCATTGAAATTGTATGCTCCGAGGTGCAAAATCGATCGAAATTAATAACTATGCTCCTAGATAAGAAAGAACGTATACTTATTACCCAATAAGTATAGTTCGAGATTTAATTTTTAGTCAATTTTTACTTAGCTCTCTTCGCATTGCGCGAGAGAATTTTGGAAAAAAGAAAATTAATTTGAACCAAGTATTGACCTGCCGCTTGAGTGTTAAACCTACAAATTAAAAAAGACCTATCAAATGTGTATTAAAAATAATTATTAATTAACAAATGAAAAATACTCAAGAAAATATTAAATTTCCAACATAAATACATGAAATAAATTCGACAGAATGAAAATCCGCCGAGCCATGCTATACAAGCAACTATGTATTATACAGCAAGAAATTTAATGCCACCAAAATTCCGACGTGATGAACCGAACCAACGCCTTGGCCATTTGACAACATCGGTGTGCGGCTGTCACACACCGGTATGGTTCAGAGCGTTGCCGGATCGAACCTTCGGTCGCAGCTGGTGATTTGGGGCGCAGAGAAGAGGCCGCAAAGGGACAGATTGACGGAGACGGGGGTTAACACAACCCGTGTCGCGAGCGACCCGCATGACACGGCGCCCCGGCCCGACGGCGCTACCGCACTTGGGGACGGGGGCGGGCAGGGGCGCGCTGGGGCTGGCGCGGGACCGGGCGGGAGGGGGGGCGGGGGCGCAGGCAGCCGCAAGCACGCATGAATCAATGTGACCCTGCAAGGTTCCGAACTCCGCAGTAATCTAAGCTATGAATCTCATAACTAGTCCGGGAAACACGCCGCAAACGTCAATTGGGGAAGAGGAATCTACCGAAAACTATATGATCGACCGGGACTGCTAAACCTGGCACCATCTTTTAGTAATAATCTCAGCCTACATCAATAACATACTATATTGCAATTGTAATAGAGATATAATATATCGCAATCGCAATTATACTTAAGCAATTCCACAAGCTGAAGAAAATGTAATAGTTTCGAGTCGACCGTAACTGAAAAATTTTGTTCTTGGTATTCGTCTAAAATGTCAAAAAACCACGTATCCCCTTTTTAAGAGATGCTGGCAATGAAAGAAAAATTGTCTAATCTGCTTTCAAAGCACGCCCTTCTTGAATGTAAACCACGAAATTATACAATTGAAGTTTAATGTTGTACTCGAATAAAATTATTACAAGGTTTCAAACAGCAGTAATTTCACTTCCAACCTCCTTCGACAAAATTGGATTTAATTAGTCACCTAGAACTCTTTTATAACTTTTCTCTTCAACAGTACAAAAATAATGTCATATAAACGCGGTATAGGTATTTGAGAAAGGTTCGTCATTTATCTGAGCGATACGGTATTTAAAAGACAAGCAACGAAGTGACAGGAACAAACACAAAGAAAAAATAATTAACACGGCAACAACATAATTTTATATTTACGTAAAATGAAATGGAAATCTTCGGCACAGTAACATCTCTCACCTTGTAATGGCCCTTCTGGTTTGACGAGCAGCCTTTCAACTTCTGCATGGGTTAGCCTCCGCGAAGAGGCAGAAGCCAGACTTTTCTCTCTTTCGTTTTGTAGAAATCCGTCTTGCAGCCGCGAGTAGGTCTTCCGACCGTAAAACTACTACGTTTTCAGCAGCACGGTGTAATCTTCCTTTTACACTATCCGAAATCTAAAGCCAACACGAAATTTTCAGAGCGGAAACTCTCACTGCTTTCCGCGAGGGGTAACAATCGCTCTTCATCTTGTGAGAGGCGGCGTCGGCGCTTGCACGTGCGATTGCTATCTAGTGCGATAACGCCAGATGCCGCCCGCGACGGCTTCGCTCTGGCCAACAATCCCACTACCTGCACTACGAAAGTGACATCGCAATCCAACACGTCAGTCACAGCGTAGCGACAACCGCCGTAAAACGGCTTTCTGTCCATCCTCGTCTTTTCCTCTGATGTCGAGATTTTCTATTAATTTCGCAATCTTTCCCTCAAGGAAAGAATTCCCCCGGAGGAGTGTCTGGTTGTGATAAGCGCGAACTAAGATGCACATAGATACTTCAGTCAACTTTCTTCTCTTTTCAAATCAATGGGTTATTAGGTTTGAAAATTGGATCATTGCATTTTAATTTCGTTGGCCTTAGTTTCATAGCGAACCTATAGAGGAGAAAAACAAATTATGATATAGAATAGTTACGTCAATAGTTAATTAGTATTCATTTGTCCGAAATACATAACAGTGTTGGAAATGGTCTCCTTACATGGGAAAGCTTCGAAACAATAAATTTACAAACCGATAACACTGTTTGGATAAACTTGGAATATTCACATAACTGAAAAGGTAACAGTAAATTTAATAAAGCTTTTCTGAAAATAGTCAAAGAGCTTATACAGAAATCCGAGCACGTTCGTCAAAAAGGTATCTCTCGTCACGCAAACGTGATCCATTTACACACCGGAATCCGGGCACAGTGTTTCTACTTTTTCACTTTCTCCTTTCTTCCATAACCTTCCACCGTTATTCCT